CCCCCAGCCCTTCCCCCTTCCAGGTCACACCGCCTTCCAAATCCTTCACCTCACTTCCAGTCCGAATGCTGCAGGACCCGCAAAGCGACGGCATTACTTACCCCGCCGGTGTCAAGAAACGTTTGGCGGACATAATGACGTTTTAAAAAGGGAGGGGAGAGGGGAGTCCATATGAAATGGTCATGACTGTTGCACTCACCCGCCAGAAAGGGAATTCGGCCACATTCCGCAACCCGGTGCGCTGCAAAACAAGAAGGAAAATAGTTAGATTATGTTAGATACGGCGAGATTTCTGATTCTGATGGGGTAAAATAAAAAATCAAAGGCATCTACGACATCGACGAAAGATATTCAGAATATGAGAAATCCCAAGGAGAAAAATAAAAATACACGTATGGGCCGTCAAATTGAGAGTAATAATATGAGGAAATGCCTTTGCTGCTCGATCTTATAAAATGTGTCTGAACGCGTTTCTCCCTAAGCGACTTGGAACATTCATCAGACGACTAAGGCCCCACCAACGTGCGGCTCCCCCAGCCTCCTCGCCCTTCCTCACGTCCCCCTCCCACCATCCCGCGCCGCCGCAGTGGGCCACAACCGCGGGGCAGCCCGCACGAACATATAGCAACCTACGGGCAGTAGTGACACACACACACACACACACACACACACACACACACGTGTCATTACGGAAAGGTGGCCCGGCAGACACGTGAATTAATAAGTAGCTGCGGGGATAGATGAGGCCGGCGGGGCACAATGGGGCTCCATGCGCGCGGTATTCAAATCAGGGCGGCGGGTATATAAGGCAACTGCACTGCACCTGGAGCGGCCATCCCCCCGCCCACGCACACACACACACACAGACGTGTCCTTCGGCTCGCACACGCTTGGCGGGATCACCAAGGAGAGCAGTGAGGCAGAAGTCAAGTCCTCTCTGAGCCGCGCCCGCCCTCTCCAGAGTGCAGCGGGCCGTGCCGTGGCTATATGTGCAGCACCCGGGGGCCAAATGGCGCACATTTCCCTCTTGACGTGCTCGCTCCAGCCCTTCCCTCACACCGTCCTACGTCCTACACCTTGCTGAGAGGTGTGAAGTACCACTACGCCCTGACACCTGCAACCGCATTATTTCTTCTGAAGGCTCGGCTATCGACCGGCTGCTATGTGCTAAATTCACTTGACTCCATTTTTCATCGGTATGGGTCTCGGAATTTTTCGTTCGCGTTTGCTTGCCAAAATTTGGCCTGCTTCTACTCTTCAAAAGAGATGATTACATTTTGGAAAAACAACGGCCAGAATACGGACAAAATTTGGCAGTGCAAAAAGAGTGCCACCAAACTTTATGCAATTAAGTTCGGCGACCACGCCGTTTAGGGTGCACTAAACGTGTCACTTTATCTTAAGTGTTTCATTACACCTTTACGCACAAGGAGCACGCCATGCCACTGCATCGCACAACGCAGTGACAAGAAGAGGAAGAACTGCTCACGGCCCGCTGGCCACGGCACAAGGCACAGGAAGCCACACCGGGGATTGTCCACAATTAAGCAATTAATCCTATTTGCGATCAATGGTATGATCCCGGATCACGCGCGGTGTGCAAAGGGAGCTAGGAGGGAATCTCTTGTTGCAAAACTTTTGCTCGCACTCTACTATATCGCTCGCTCACTCACTCATTCACTTTCTTTGGCTGCATTTTTGGGCGAGTCAATGAATTCGAGCTCCGGCGCTGCGGCGCACAAGCTTAGCCGCGATTACTTTTGTTCCGCGTATCCGGCCGCCCGCTCGCTTCTGCTCGAGCTTCTGCTCGCCCCGGGGCCGCCGCGGGCCCCGCCACCGACACCTGCGTGACTCACGGCAAAAGGGGGCGCCTCTGCATAGGTCAGGGTCAGGGAGGCCGGCGGAGGGCGATCGGAGACAGAGCCGCGCCCCGTATTTATCCGGACTTCCGGTAAGCCGATTTCGTAAGCGAGCATCCGAATTTCAGTGTTTCGTCCTTATGCTGACAAAACACTAAAAATTTTGAGGATACCGTGTCGATATATGTTCCAGCCGGAACTTGGCCAATCCGGCCGATCGCCCTCCTAGTGTGTGCGCTAGAGGAACAGAGGTGAGGAGAGGGGAGGGGGGGGGAGGCCAGGAGGCAGGGGTGAATACATTTTGGCCTGTTTGTTGCGATAATACGGAGGCGTGAGAGCGTGCAAGCGGCGGCCGTGGCGGCGGGCGGGGGCCGCGGTGGCGGCGCCAGAGACGAGAGGGCCAAACGTCAACACGGCCGCCGTGGCGCGTGTCCGCTGATGGAGTGCACAAGTGCAGAGAGTGAGAGACGGGAGAGGAAGGGGAGGGGGGAGGGGGCGAATACCGGAATAAACCATTTTACGGACGGGCACACCCCTTGCGCACACTCTGGTGGTGATGATAGAGTTAATGGAATTCCTCTGCTGCTGTAGCGCAGGATTGACTTTTATTG